TCGTTCGATAGTTTGTTTTGTTTGATTTTTTGGTTTGATTGGTTGTTTGACTGTTGATGTGTTGTTTGTGTTAGATGTGTTTCAATCTATTTGTTTCGTTGGTCCAAAAATAACACTTAGACGCACCCTGGGTGCTCTGTATTAAATTATTCAGTTTACGTTGATCACCCACCGTTATAGACTTTACCACATCAACTTTGGTTTAATTGTCTCTTAATTTCGTTCTGTCATGATCATTGTTCCAATTTAAGCTCAGCAAAAAAAAAAAAAAAGAACTGATTAAGAGTCGTCAGTCTGATCTGAAAGGTAAACCATACTTTTACAAATAAAATAAAACAGTGAGATATTTAAAGGTCCTTATCATACAATGTAAATATATATTTGATATTTTTAAAAGGTCATATAATAATATATAATCATATTTGTGACATTTAAATGGCTGCACTATCTATGATATGGTATATCCTATATACAATATAACTATATCTAATTACGCTGGGACTTAAATATGTATACATTGGAGTGCTACGTATTATTGCGACACTTGTCTAGCAGGTTTTTACCAGGGGTCTACATGATGTTCCGAATTTCTCTAACCGGCCCAGCATATGTGTGGCAAGGGTCTAACATAGACCACGTTGTCAGGATCGTGTGATATACTGGAAGGTAAACCGTCTAGTAACTTGTAGTCTGAGTTATAGAAAGCTGATTTTTTTTCTCTATATACTGTATGTAACAAATAAAATTCGAATGCTTTATGACACCGTGCAATGAAACATTGACTCAATTAGAACACTCCATGAGAGGTTTCTGTGAAAATATGTTTCTTTTTTTTGAAAATTTCGCAAATTTGATGAGATAGTAGGGCCAGTAGAACATTGAGGCAGAGGTCAGTGATGAGATTGTAGGGCCAGTCCAACATTGAGACAGAGGTCAGTGATGAGATAGTAGGGCCAGTCCAACATTGAGGCAGAGGTCAGTGATGAGATAGTAGGACCAGTCCAACATTGAGACAGAGGTCAGTGATGAGATAGTAGGGCCAGTCCAACATTGAGACAGAGGTCAGTGATGAGATAGTAGGGCCAGTCCAACATTGAGACAGAGGTCAGTGATGAGATAGTAGGGCCAGTCCAACATTAAGACAGAGGTCAGTGATGAGATAGTAGGGCCAGTCCAACATTGAGACAGAGGTCAGTGATGAGATAGTAGGGCCAGTCCAACATTGAGACAGAGGTCAGTGATGAGATAGTAGGACCAGTCCAACATTGAGACAGAGGTCAGTGATGAGATAGTATAGCCAGTAGAACATTGAGACAGAGGTCAGTGATGAGATAGTAGGGCCAGTCCAACATTGAGACAGAGGTCAGTGATGAGATAGTAGGACCAGTCCAACATTGAGACAGAGGTCAGTGATGAGATAGTAGGACCAGTCCAACATTTAGACAGAGGTCAGTGATGAGATAAAAATGAAGGTATAAAAAATTAAAATTCATATTTGCCAATACTTTTTATTTCTCTAATTTGGAAAAAAAATGAAACGACAGGGAAACAACGCGAACAAAAAAGTACAGTGTCATCAGTTTTAAAATAAATTTACAATTAGATGTTAAAAATTAATTAGCATAGTATTATAAAAAACAAAACAAAAACGTTTTTTTTTTTTAAAATATGTAAAAACTATGATTAAAGCTCAATCACATTTGAAGTTTTCTCATATTATAAAATTCAAACACACTTAATATAATGTAGACATTTATCTAAGACTAGCTTTAGACTACGCTCACTCTCCAAAAATTGATACAACCAACTAAGAATCAACTACTACCCAACCAAGACTGTAATAATCGCAAAACCAAACAACTACGACCTAGATCTAAAGTGTGTACTATTTTCAATAATTTTCTTTTATAAATAAATTAAAACAACAGAGCTACACGGAGTGTTGTATCGCTCGTGATGAAATACGTATTATTATTTAAACTGAACTTTCTTATCATATCAACAAGTCAATTATTTAACTCAACAAGCTGTTTGCAATTAAAACTTGAGCCTGATAATAATTGAAAATTACAAAACAAAGACTAAGCGATCCTTTTTATAAGATAGTAAAAAATATTCTAGTTTTGATTTACACTTTAGACAATGTTTTGTATTTCTCAAAATTATTTATGAATTTCTTTGTACATTTAGCCATTTGGGAGCAAACTCGTAGGTTATTCTTCTTGGTTAATTTAAATTGATAAGTGGAAACCAGTGTAAGCGAATTAATTAAAAAAAAAAGTTCTTGGTTCGGATTTAATTTAACTAATTGACATGAAATTTAAATGAGCAATATAAAAGCCTACATTTTCCATATACAAATATATTTATGAATATAAGGGCTAAAGTATCTATAATACTTTATTTACGACACTTCATTATATTATATACTAGGCATACTGCCTAGCTTCGCTTAGGTTTTCAAAAACATTTGATAATTTGAATACTAATTATTTGGTGATGTATGAGGTGTGGAGTGCTTAAATTTAAGCAGTAATGCTAATTTTAGAGAAGATGTTGTATGTTGTTTAACAATCGCTTTCAGAGCAAAAAATTAGAAAGTAAACAATTTATAACTAAAATGGAATTAGAAATACAGAGGTTCCATTAACAGTATATCCAGTAATTTATATTACATTGACTTTAAAAATTAATTTTTATTTAATTATGATACGTAGCATAATTAACAACTTATTAGGTTTAAAACAAATGTTATACTTGGTCGTTTTCTGTTTCTGTTTAAAATAGTATACAATTATTTGAAAAATAATTATTAAAAAGGTTACCTCCCTTGAAAATGGACCGAATGACGTATTTTATTGTTTACTTTTTTTAAAAACAGTTACTATGCTTATATTTAAAAATTGATATATGAACATATTTAACGACTACAATGGATTTTTCCGACGTGAATAACGTTTTTTTTGTTACCCTCCAGGGTCGGTCTACGACCTCAAATAATATTAAGGGGATCGTTCGTCAATTTATTTATATATATATATATCTCATATAAGGAGAATTTCACTCGCGGTCATCTTTTAGCCCTGCTCGAGGGCTTTGAGTCTGACCAACAGTTTTTCCATACGGCCTAGTCAGCTATAGAAGTGTATGCAAAACATTAGCTTGATGTACAGAGGTTAAGTAACCTAAAACTTGTGTTGGAAATTCCCTGTTCTTCCCATAAAATACAAAGATTATATAGGGAAATACGACTGGTCAGTTTTGACCCATTTAACTAATTTTCCCGGACATGGCGAGTTTTTTGTGACACCCCCAGGCATTCTGCTACCACCTCACAACATTTCAAGGGGGGTCGTCGGAGGAAATTTTTTTTCGTAATATAGCTCATATAATGAGAATTTCACTCGCGGTCACTTTTTAGCCCTCGTCTAGGGCTTTGAGTCGAACCGACAGTTTTCCCTAAAGGTCAAGCCATTGACCTAAACGTATGCAAAAAATTAGCCAGATATATCGAGTTTAAGTACCCTAAAGTCTGCGTTGAAATGACCCTCTGTTTTCCCCATAAAATACAAAGATTATATAGGGAAAAACAACAGGTCAGTTTTGACCCCTTTACGAAGTTTTCCCAGATATGCCGAGTTTTTTGTGACACCCCCAGGCATTCTCCTACCACCTCACAAAATTTCAAGGGGGGTCGTCGGAGGAAATTTTTTTTCGTAATATAGCTCATATAATGAGAATTTCACTCGCGGTCACTTTTTAGCCCTCGTCGAGGGCTTTGAGTCAAACCGACAGTTTTCCCTAAAGGTCAAGCCATTGTCCTAAACGTATGCAAAAAATTAGCCAGATATACCGAGTTTAAGTACCCTAAAGTCTGCGTTCAAATGACCCTATGTTTTCCCCATAAAATACAAAGATTATATAGGGAAATACAAAGTTTTCCCAGATATGCCGAGTTTTTTGTGACACCCCCAGGCATTCTCCTACCACCTCACAAAATTTCAAGGGGGGTCGTCGGAGGAATTTTTTTTTCGTAATATAGCCCATATAAGGCGCCGGTCAGTCGAGGTCAGTTTTGACCCCCTCTCCGTCGACTTTTCGGCCAACCGTCACCGGCCCTCGTGTTCTATCTCCCCAAGGCACCATCGTCCAATTAAAAATTAAGAAAGTTAAAGAAAGTTTTAAAACAAAAACTTTTATACACACATTTTAAAATTTTTAATTTCCTTAATAGAAAACTCTAGTTTATGTTTAATTCAATTATTTATTAAATTAAAAAATAGAGTTTTTTTTTTTTTTTTTTTTTTTTTTTTTTTGCCTCAGACATGTAATTTACAGCGTCAGTAGTGTGTTCGCTTTAGTATTACAGTTTTCATCATCGGCTTGTGAGGACTGATACAGATTCACAATAGTAATATTTCTTTCTTACTCGTAGCCTACTTTCATTCATTTAAGATGGTTTACTTTTACATATATCTAATACAAAACGTGTAAATATATTAAATAACAGAGCTAAACGGAGTATGCGACGAGTGTTAAGAGAAATTAGTAGTTGTTTAATCTGAACTTTTTCCCCAATATTTACAAGACAATTCTTTAAATCAGCTAGCTGTCTGCAATTAAAACTTGAGCCTGATAATAATTTAAATTTACAAAACCAATGTTAGAATCATTTTTTAAAGACTTAAAAATATTTTAATTTTAATTTACAATGTTTTATATTTTTCAAAATTATTTATGAATTTCTTTTTACATGTAGCCATTTTTGGGATCAAAGTTGTAGGTTATCCTTCTTGGTTAATGTAAATTTATAAATAGAAATTAGCGTAGGCGAATTAACTAAATAAATTTTCTTGATTCGGATATAATTACATTAATTCATCTGAAATTTAAATAAGCAAAATATAAGCCTATATTTTCCATACACATGTATCTATGAATATAAAAGCTAAAGTGGGAAAAATGTTTCTTAGTTTTTTTTTGTTTTTTTTTTTTTTCAACAAAGCAATTTATTTACATTACATGCACAAATAATTCTACAAACTACTTTGGGTACATTTGTAAGACCAATGGATTGAAGGTCATCATGTACCTCTCCCAGACTTTCACCAGCTTGGGAGAAGATCGAAAAATATCAAGTTGTAAAGCCGTTTCTTTGAAAGCATTGAGAAAATACATGGCATCTTGCATGGTCAATGATAGTTGTTGCCAAGGCTCAATTAACTTTTCAAGCACATCAATGAAAATATCTCTTGATTCCTTGCTATGATTTAAACCACTTGCAATATTTATAATGGTCTTTGATACTGATCTAAAATTAGCATCCATTTCAGTAAGAACCTTTTCTCTCATAACAGGCTGTAGTGTACGAATCATTAAACTTCTGTGCTCTTCTGCATACTCTCTTTCCATGAGAACCTTAAACTCTCTAAGATCCAGCAGGAAGTCTCTGTCCATGTCCACATCCATATCCTCATGGTTCTGACATTCTTCGGAACTGTAAGACCAGTTAGAGATCATGTAATTGGCACAGACAGCAAAATCTTCAAAACTAAGGTAGCTCAACTTTTTTTTGCCAGTTTCAAATCTGTTGTTTGTGATAAATACTATAGCAGCATATGCTTTGGCCAATTCTTCAGATAGACAAAAAAGTGTTTGAATGTTATCTACCAAACGGCCACTCAATTCTTCAACTGTTTTGAAAAATCGCTTGGCATTGTCAAACTGTCTTCTACAATTGCGCACAGGAATGTCAGTTTCTTCACTTAGGTCATCCAGATCTTTCCTACTGCGAGAATTTAATTTATGTCCAAATATCTCTCGAATCAATGGAGCATCAAAACTGTAGTATTTTTGAATCAACATGTGTAATGTATCAGGATCAAACTGATAAACCAGTTGGTGACTTAATCTGGGTGGTGTTTTCAACATTTCTTCCAGGCCAGTAAATATGCGATAATAGTCGACAATATCACTAAAGAGATCTTCAAAGTTCGCACCATACACTTTGAGAGCTACTTTATTTTGTTGAATTCTCGCAGCTTCCGGAGCTGTGTATCCTTTCAGCCAAAGTTCATAAATTTCTGGTGATATTACACAGTTGTTACCAACAAAAACGTCGATCTCATTCATTTTTTAAATCTTGGGTGTTGATTGGTCTCAGGTCTGAAGAAAAAGATAGATCTAGATTCTAGAACTAATTCTAGATCTAGATCTATATTCTAGATTACAAAAAAAAAACAAGTTTGCTATCAAGGTATTTAATCTTTGCTGTGATTAATTTAACGCCGGTACAGTGGTATCGATCTAGTAGTTAGATTCGATATCCGACATGTTAGATTCGGTGCTTATCATGTGTTAATTAGATTCGCTGACCTGTGGGATTCAAGATTTTCAAATTACTATATTGCCTAAATACTTATTGTATTTATCACATATTTATAGTCACTCTCAGAGCTGGGGTTACCCTGACCTCAAAGGAAAGAAAATTGAAGAATGGCAAGCAGGAAGGCTTACACGTCTAAACAACCCTGATGATAAACCAGCTTTCTAGTCAACGGTCAACCTCATCCATCTCAGACACAGCTTGTGCTACAAACGACACCAGCTGAAAACTTTACTACATTTTACTATTTTTAAAATTGTTTTGTTGAATATTTCCAATAACTGATACCTCAACAGTGTGGGGGTGACACCACATTTGATAAGTTAATATGAAAACTGCTTTTTTCCACTTGAAGTAATAAGAAGATCTATATATATAGATAATTCTCTTCATGGAGACCATAGAAAACACCACACAGCTTAGCCACCACCTGTCAGGTGAGCTGTGGTTCACCCTGAATGTTTACAATCGTAGAGCTGGGTTAGTGAAGGCTATTAGGGGCAGATAATTTAGTATTAAACGATTTGAAACGAAGGGGAGGTAACAATTTCTGATTGATCTTTTCTTTATCTGTAAACAGCTACTTTCACTGGGAGGGAGAGGGGGGGGGGAAGGAAGGGCGGTAGGGGGTATTGTTGAATTCACAAATTATGAATTGCTAATAACCAGAAAATAAAACAACTAGATGGCGGCGTATACTACGTCGCGGGTCAGCTCGTTAATATAATTTTTGCGAAAACTGATGCCACTTGTAAAATTGAAGGGGTAGGGGGTTGACATCAAATGCAACTTTCGCAGAACAATGTAGTGATCAGAACGAAATACACCACCCACCAAACTGGATGGGCCTGACACCACATTGAAAAAAATTGCAAATCAATAAATTCTTTGATGATGGAGCGTGGCGGTTAACTAAAATATCAATGATAAATTTCTTATCGAACATGTCATATTGTTATATCGTTTATTTCTGAGTCTTGCAGAATTATATTTTTTTGTGAGTTTTGTAATAAGATAATAGTATTAATAGTATGTGAGCATCTTGACATCAAAAGAGCCGCAGACTGCCTAGACCAGGGGTCGGCAACCTGCGGCTCGCAAGCTGCAGGCGGCTCTTTTAATGTCAGGATGCGGCTCGCCAGTTCCATAATAATGATATTATTTTATTTTCATAACTCATAAAAAATATTGTACTGGAAAACAACTTGAAACAAAATGAAAACACTAAGAAAAGGTGGAGTAGAGCGTATACAAAAAGCTGACAGCTGCATTGACACAAGGCCCAGCCCCACAACTGTGATGTGGCCAGCCAGTGTTTCTTCCAGACTTTTTTCTCCGGGGGGGCACTTGAAATCTTCGGGGGGGCGGTAAACTTTCTTCGGGGGGGGCGGACACTGTTAAAAGTATATATTTTCTATATAAATTATATAAATTTCATTTCGTTCGGGGGGGCGGTAAAAAATTTTCGGGGGGGCTTCGCCCCCCCGAAGAGATGCCTGGAAGAAACTCTGTGGCCAGCCACGTGGCAGTGGTTCCATGCTTTCAACTACCGAAGTGCACTTTTTTTTTCAAATATTTTCAATAGTAAAGGTTATTTTAATCAGAAGGCATATTTGCGCGTTTTACCGTGAAATTATTTAACTTGAGTGGCAAATTCTTATAGTTATTAGCCTCTAAATTGGGTAGGGATAGTTTTATAATTGTTTTTTATTATCCTTAAAGAACTAGTTGAAATACTTTATTTTTTATACTTAAACTCATAAAAATTTTTTATTTAGCTAATCCTAACAAATACCTTAATATTGAAGAACAATTATTAGTGGCTCTTTAAAAACTGGGAAATTTTGTAAAATGTAACTTTTGGCACTTACACCTCAAAGTATTGCCGACCCGTGGCCTGGACCTAGAGTGTGTACTATTTTCAATTATTTTCTTTTATACATAATTTTTTTCTTCTTTTTTTATGATACAAATTTTAAGTATACGAGAAAGTAAATATGATGACCCTTGATAAATTTTAAAAAATCAAGTAATTAGTCATTATAAAATTAAATTAACAATAGGAAGAGTATAATATTGTTTAAACTGAACTTTCTCATTATATCTACAAGTCAATTCTTTAATTCAGCTAGCTGTTAGCAATTAAAATTTGAAACAGATAAAAATGTAAAATTACAAAACAAAGGCTAAGCAATCCTTTTTATAAGATTATAAAATTTTTCTAGTTTTGATTTACAACGCAAACAATGTTTTGTATTTTAAAAAATTATTTATGAATTTCTTTGTACATTTAGCCGTTTTTTGGGAGCAAACTTGTAGGTTATTTTTCTTGGTTAATTTAAATTTATAAGTGGAAATTAGCGTAAGCGAATTTATAAAAAAAAAAAAGTTCTTTGTTCGGATTTAATATAATTAATTCACATGAAATTTAAATGAGCAAGATGAAAGCCCACATTTACCATATACAAACGTATCTATGAATATAAGGGCTAAAGTATCTATAATACTGTATTTACGACACTTTATTATATTATCTATAGTGCCATATTTAAATTACTCTATTTATACTATTGTATTAGGAAACATTTTTAAAGGTAAAAACATGCCAATACCAGTGTCGGTTTGGTGAAGGGGGGGGGGGGGGAAGGGGGGGGGGGGAAGATGACAAGGCACAAACCGAAACCTTGCTCAAGCTTTACCCTCCCCTGATTTGCGGTGTGGTTTTCTACAAACAGTAAATATTAAATATAAATGTCATCAACCTAGATGTAACGGCACTCAAGTTATCGTGTTTACAGACACACATACACACACAGAAGTACGGACAAATTTGCAAAACTATGTTTCTCCGACTCAGGTAGGTGTAAAACGTCGATATCTGTGAAAATCTCGATTTTTCTTTTGCACGATTACAAGACTTTCTCTTTACTTCGTATATACGAAATTTTTTTTTCTTTTTTTTTTGGTCTCAGACATGTAATTTACAGTGTCAGTTGTGTGTGTTCGCTTTAGTATTACAGTTTTCATCATCGGCTTGTGAGGACTGATATAGATTTACAATAGTAATATTTCTTTCTTACGTGTAGCCTACTTTCATTCATTTAAGATGGTTTACTTATACATAGATCTAATACAAAAAAGTCTAAATATAAAAAAAAAATTAAAAAAAAAATAAATAAAAAACAACCTGAAAATGCAAATGTGTAATTAAATGATGATACAATGGATTTTTATTTTCCTTGGCGTGGTGGGTGAGGGGGGGGGACGGGGTGTAATTTGGGTTTTTAAGTAGTGCTGAAATAAATTTGTGATTACAGAGAATTAAAGTGATACAATTTTTAAGCAATTGGAAAAATTATGTTATTACAACAAGACACATCAAAGCAAACACATTCTTCCCTTTCAAACATCTATATCTATACAGTCCTCAATTATTTTTTTTTTTTTTTTTTTTTTTTTTTTTTTTTTTTAATCTATTGTTTTAAACATTTAAATCAGTAATAATAATTTGTTTGATAGATTTACACAGCATCAAAGATATGAACATCAATTGCATTTATAATAATTAAAGAGAGAAAATAAAATGGCATAAGACTAGACTAAAATAAGGTGTGCAAACTCGGTTTCTCTTGACTGCTTAGTTACTGTGCTCAGTCCTTAGCTGTGGAGTCAAAAGTTCACATTGTAGACACCCATGGACAGAAATAGAAACGACCGTGGGAGAAGTGTCTCTGTAATACTCAAACTGATCTATCATTCCAAAAATTTCCATGACATTAAATTGACCCTTGGCGATGAAGGCACGCTACCTTGAAATATCCGCCTGTCCGGTTGAGTGGGGGGGGGGAGAGAATGTGTGTGTGTGTGGGGGGGGGGTGAGGTGTGTATCTCTTTCTACCATTCAGGTTGTACACTTTTAAAAACCTGGGAAACAGAAGACTGTTCTAATGTTAATTAACTTGAGGGCTGATCGAGTGATGTATATACGATAAATTGAAATGATAAATCAATGTTTAAACTGTCATAATATTGATGAAAAAGGAACCTTTAAATTTATAAAAATCAATTTTTAAAATAAGCTAGCTGTTTTAATTTAAAGTTATTGTCCAAATAAAAGTTTAAATTTTTTAACACTGACATTGTTGTAAAAATAAATGTTAATATTTTTAACAGAACAAAAACAAACACTTGTTTGCCTTTCATTTAATTATTTATGAATGTATTAATTTACTTAACGATATTTTGGATTGTAGTTATGAGTTGTCTTTCTTGAATATTTTAAATTAAAGAATTGAAAATAATTCTAATGAATTAATAAATCAATAGCTATGTTCTGAACTAGATGCATTAAACTTTTTAAACGTCCTAGACACCGGCTTTTATTTTACAAAATTTCAAAGTACACTGTTCTTTTCTCTAAACAATATTTATTTCATTTCACGTTTTATATATATATATATATATATATATATATATATATATATATATATATATATATATATATATATATATATATATATATATATATATATATATATATATATATATATATATATATATATATATATATATATATATATATATATATATAATACTGTATTTATGACACCATTATATTATATATATAGCAATATGGAAATTTATATATACCGAATTTATAGTATTGTTTTTGGTAACACTTTTAAAAGGTAAAAACATGCCACTACAAGTGTCGGTTTGGTGATAGGCGGGGGGGGGGGGAGCGGGATGACAAGGTAAAAACTGAAACCTTGTTC